AGTCCAGCTACAGAACAAACCTGAATTCAACAGCACCTGCTTATTCTCCTCAGAGGGCTAGATAGAAGCTCTGTTGCACTGTTTTTACCCTGATGGGCTAAAAATGCAGATTCTCCATGATAACTAATACCTTTCCCTTCAAAAGTACATCCCAGAAGGATACAAATCAGTGCAGCCCTAGAAGCAGGATATTCCCTGTGGATAGACCATAGACTGACCTGGGGGAACAGCTGGGGACTCTGCTCTCCCASAAGWACAGCTTGAAGRGATCTTTACTGAAGCATTAAGGCTRAAGTGTTGTTGGATGTCACCAGATGCTCCRAATCCCACTTTGGGCCAACAACAGGAGCAGAGAAATAAGTGGATGCAACTCAGAGAGGGAGGCTCAGGTAGGCACTTCCTCATCCAGAAGCATGAGGAGACTTGAAGAGCTTGGAGTTGAGATAAACTGAGTGAAAGAAAYGAGGTTTTACAGAAGCTGAGAAAGGAGGAGAGTCCTATATGACTGGCCCAGTCAGAGCAAAGCAAGCCAGTTTCTTTCCTGGATTCAGAARTAGCAAGCAGCAGTGGTGGGCTCTGCAGAGGGTGCCTGAGCCTGGCAGAACCCAGCATGCGTTTTGCACTGCAAAAAATGCTATTTCATTGCTAAGCTAAGCAGATCAGACACAGACACTCACTGGGATATTGAAATGCTGGTTTTTTCTCACATGAATTTCTGTGAGAGCACCCAGCAGCACACACACGAATCTGCTTTCTCTGGTGTAGGTGATGAATGGGTCACCTCATGTGAAAGGAGGGGACTAATTTGCCTCAGGTCAGTGTTTGGACAAAACTTTTCTTGCTATAAAGGCAGAAGGTCAAGAGGCAGGATTGGCTTTTGCCCTGAGAGGTAACAAAACTAGCAGTGCACTCCAGAGACAAAGTGAACCTCTGTGACAGCAGCAMAAAATGTTTGAGCAGACAAACCCTTGTAGGTAATGTGGAGATGCAGCTTCTGTAAGCACATCAGCAGATCATCACATGAACACTGCAGTGTCTGTGGAGACAAAGGGCAGGGACAGAACAGCTCCAGAGCTACCTGGGCCTTCTCTCCCCCTAACAAAGCAGCACAAATGGGCTGGCAGTGGCAAATAAACCCAGGTGCAGCTTGCTTAAGGCGTTGGTGTCATTGCAACTTCTTTCACTGTTAGGAAAAATCTGGATAGAAAATTCCTAGTGGGAGTTTAAACTTGGTATCGCTGCATAAAGCCAACATGGTTTAATTCAACACTTCTTTAAAAGGTTTTATGCTATATTTATATATAGCAAAAAGTACAGCAGACATGGAAATCATCAGATTTCTGGGTTATCTGGAAAGTTGCTTTCTCACTCTCATCATGCAGCAGGGACAGCTTAAAGCTGGTGTCCCAGTGTAGTACTGCCACAAACATGTTTTATTTTTGTTTGAAGTCAGAGAATCTTTGGACTTACTGCATTTCTCCCCTGACTGCAAACATAAACCTCTGTAATTGCACCCAGGGATATMTTTGTTCTGAGGAAGAATAGCACATAACCTCAGTTTTGGCTTTGAGATCCTCTRTGAAGCTGCCCTGTGCAACAAAACAGATTTCCAGAGGCATGAAGGGTACTAGGAGGTTGACTTTCAAGAGCAAGGGGATGCCTGAATTCCCTCTGCACCCTTGGAGATCATTCCTGAGTGTACGATTCTGCCACTTGCCTAGAAAAACAGTTTCTGCAATTTAAGAGTTAAACTCAGCATTAGCAGCAGAAAAATCAGAGCACATAAGGAAGAAAACCCACTTGGTTCTGGGCAAAGGCACAAAGTGCTGTGAGGCTCTGTCTAATATTCATTGTGCAAATTTCTGAGAAATTAATGYCCACTTTTTAAGTTTCATTGGCTGCTTTTTGTTTTTTGTTTGTTTTTGGGGGGTTTGGGTGGGGTGGAGTGATGAAGAATTTTTTTTTTATATCAAGATCTAAGGGTGCCAGTATTTGAAAAGTTTGTTCTTTCTTTCTTGAAGATGACCTATACTACATTTTCATCCCCTGAGATCATAGATCACCAGCTTCAGCTACTGATGCCACTGACACCCAAAATAGAACAAGGAACAGCTAAATGCAGGCACTGCTAATATTGTTAGTAGAGGGGGACCTGGAACTCCTGGGGTCTTCACCTTTTGATATAAGTCCAAAGCCAATTCAGATGAAAGGTTGCTACAGAGTGCATAAAAGGCAAGAGAGTAATCTTTGAAGTTACTTGTTTTACAGTAGCTCTAAAAMCCATTTTACTTTCTGTGGGAACAAAATATGGAAAGGTGACTCACATCATTCAAATCAATGGTTGGGCTTTTCAGTGACATGTAAAGAACCCATCTTACCTCAAATTATTGTGATTCTGTTCATATGAAAAAAAAATCAGCCTATATTTCTAATTCTTGTCAGGCTYTTTGCTGAAAGTCTTTTGTGTGTAAACAAAGTTCAGAAAATAATAGTGCAAGCCTTTAAAAAGACTGACAGTGTGCTCATCTTAGGTGAAGTGTTTGTTCTCACCTCTTGTGATTTGAAAGACTTTTTCTTATTTGGAGCATGCTTGAAAATGCTGCTCATTTATCTTTGTCTAAAATGCCGAGTGCCCACAAGAGCAGCCTTTCCCGCAGGGACAGGACACCCCTCCCTCTCCTGACTGACCCAGGCTGATTTGATTTCCTCTGCAGGGTGGGGYACCCCAAGTGCTGGGGTTTGAACCCAGCCCAGGGGATGCAGGGGCAGTTTGGGGYAGACCCTGATGTCAGCCTGGTTCCCATCTGGGAGAAAAAGAGCAAATGCAGCATAATGCCTTCGGTGTGAGCATTTTGTGAGGCTGCAATGAGCTACTTAGGAAATCTCTGTGAGATTTTGAGTCTATAACCTCCAGCAAGACACCAACTCCAGCTCATCTCTGCAGCTTGGCTAATGGCTCTATTGCCCTTGGTGGTTGTATAAAGTCATGAATTACAAGGTGATGGGGTTTGCCTGTTCCAAGCTAATGGGTTTGTTAAATCCACATGACCTTCTGTTCCAG